TTTTTTTTTTTTTTTTTTTTTGTTTTGACCAATACATACTAACCATGTGCACAGGGTAAAACTCTTAATTTTTCACCTTCCACATACTCTTCTAAACAAATAGCACACGTTTCATACGGATCACCTTTTGTATATTTATGTGTAGGAATCTTTTTCAAACTTGAATTAGGTAATCTATGCCTCTGTTGTCTTCTTCTGTGTTTAATACACCTAACAATCTACAATTTAGGAAAGACCAACTTCAATGTACTTGCTTCTTAAAAATACAGTCATTTAAATGTAGCTCTGCAATTTTTATTTTATTTTCCAACTCTTACCATAAAGATAACCATGGCTAGGAAACAGATCCCAACAACAATAGCAAAAGGCAAGAGTAAATGTGTTATATTAAATGGGGTGACATCATTGATTAATACAAAATACAACTCATAATATAAATAATTTTCTTTAATAATCAATCCTGTGATTTCACTAACAAATACAGATGGTATTAATATTCCTACAGGATCTTTTGCAGACATTGGCTCTGTAACAAAGTACATATTTATGCATGTTTATATTAAATTCATTATTCTGTTACAATACTTTAATATTATTATATACACATTTACAATAACAGATGTTAAATTAAAAGTTCCTGTACTTTATCATAATGAAAATAATTACCTAATTCGTTGCTATTTACATTATGTATAATTGCAGCATCATATCCAGCTTTCTGTGCCATTCGTATTTTTCTTTCAAAACTACAGTTATAGCGAGCAATTAAAGCTATCCATTGACCTTTATAATTGGTACCATTGGGAGGACCCTGTATTTCATGACATGCTGTAGGTGGTTCTGCATACACAACCAACCCCTAATAAAATTATATCCACAAGCTATAATATACATATGTATTGTCCTACTATTTTCTAATGACAGATTTTTTTTCAACATAAATCCTAAACATAACATATAACACAAAAAAAGGATTATAAAAATGATGCATTATAAACATATATTAAATACCTTAATCCCTACAGATGGTATCAAACGTCCAAACCTAGCAGGCATATCTCTAAATTCTTCTTCAATTTGATGACTTGTGGATGCAGAGAATACTAATATATCTGCTCTGCTGTTGCATATTACACAGAAGACAAGAAACATAAGCCACAACTGAAGTTGGTGGCTTAAGCAACACTGTCTCATTTTTAAAATATTAAAATTATCCACTGACTTGTTAATTGTAATACTTTGTTAAATATTTTTTTAAATGCTTCATCATATGTTACATTCAGTCCTCGGATACAAATGTATCCATTATAAGGAAAATAATAATGTTATCCTGTAAAAATAATGATAATAAGTTCAGATTATGTATTTATACTGTTGTTTTTCACTTTCTACATACACTGTATATTAATTGTTGCTGGAAAATTGTAGTTAATATACATAGTAATATAACTGTAACATTTGTAATTAAGTTTATTGTATTATTCAATATAACAATTAACAAATGAATTAAATACAGTAGTCCTAATAAATAATAACGTGTTTCCCATTTCTTTATAATAGAAAAATATTGATTTACATCTCGCGTAGCAATATTTCATCCTCTCGAAGTAATTAATAAGTCAAATCAAGAAATTTGCATCGTATAAAATAATACCCTGCAAACGTTCAAGTTTTATTCTTAATATCTGTTGTACACAGTATGAAAGCATCACATTGATTAATTATTCAATGAACGATCTATAAGCTGAAGATTTATGCATTATTCTTTTGTCGGTATGCAAAAAAAGATCGCGAACTTAATGAGTGCAATGCGTATTCGTAGTTTCAGTCTGACACATTGACGAATGGATAGTGGGAGCACAGCCAACGATAATGAATTTCTCGATATATACATATATGCACACATATATATCAATCAATGTGAACAATAGTAACGTAGTAGGCATGTAAACAGGTATGTAATAAACAAGTAAGTGTCGTCGTAATTTAACCCTATAATTTTCCTTGACAATAGTAATACTTGATGTAAATACACAGATAAATTTGATACGTACTCTAGTACTCTTCTTTCTTTTTTCATCCAGGAAAGAACGTTACATATGACACATAGGGGACGTTCAATTGGTCGTAAAATATATGTATGCACATGCAATACATGCATTCACACACGTAATTTCGTAGATGCTACCAGTGTGCAATGAGATGCACACCGTTTACTCGTCGCATATCATTTACACCTGCTTTATTACGTCTTTCACAAATTTGAGGTTATACGTACGAATGTTTTAAAATGTATTGATTAAGTTTCACTAATAAAAACGCAAAATTCTTACGACGACATCAGATCAACTACGACGTTAATTAACCCATCGAATAAAGTTCACAAGAAAAATGTCAAAGAGTCGAGCCGATAAAGGTATCCCCCATTCATAACTTCTTGAGTAAAAACGATTCGAACAGATGTACGTAACAGAAGAACAATTTATACAACTCCTCTCTTTTGAAAAAAACTGATCGTAACTTGATCACTTGAGTCACGCGGATGTCATACATAACTTTTTCCTCTATTTTCTCGCGGAACTATCTGACAGAGCCATGCCGGACGTACTTACACGTTTACGCGATGCAAGCGCTAAATTTAAATTCAATTAAATGTCAGCCTACAACGCATCGATTTTTATATCGTATAATTAATATTTCTACAAGAAGTAACTCTAAGTTTAAATTTATTGACCGAAACTGTCAAAGCCAGCAAATTTGGGATATTAAAGGTGTGTGTGTGTGTGTGTGTTAATATTTCTATGAAAGATTCTACACGAAATGTATACTTGGAAAGTTTTATATTTCGACCTTTTTCTTTGAATGCCGATATATTTTTGATTAATTAACTGTTGTACTTCGTTAAGCAAATTAAATATAGCTTCGTAAAGTTTTCGTAAAAAGTATATTTAAAGTACACGTGGTACGGTTACAATTGATTGTATTAGACAAAACATCTATTACATAAAAATGTTTTTAAGAAGTAATCACAGGTAAAATTGATCGCCTAGTAAAATCAAACAAGAAAAGGTGCTTTTCTTTTTGATATTATAAAATTTATGCCTTTCACGTACGTAACCACATAACTTACTGATATTCTATATATCGTGTTAGATTATTATGCACACATATGCACATCACAGGCGTGAAGAATGGTCATTTACA